CAAACATCTGTACCATTGACCTAGATTTAAAAGGTTAACCAAGAAAAGACCTGGGAACAGCTTCACTCAAGCCCTTTTGAGCCCAGACTTTAAACCAGAAGCTGATAGGAGCCACCAGCATGCTTTTTCTACATCTCATCTTTCTTGTATAAAGTGAGCATATTTTCTGCTCCACTGGCCAAAGCATGATAAAGCTGAAGTCTTAGTAGCACAAACTGGTATCCAGAGCTGGAAGTAAGACTGATCCACTGCAGGAAGTCTCTAGGTCTTTCCCTGGTTTAATCACACAAATATCCCTTGTATCTGTCAACACTGAGTACAATCACACCATGTACACAGCTAATAGAGCAAGAAGTGAACTACAAGCCCTTTAAGAACAAGAAGTGAACTACAAGCAGGCTATCACCACAGGCAAGTTGCTCACCTACCTGATCCTTCTGTTGGCAGGAGAGATTGGAGACAGAGGAAAAAAGGAGAAATTAAAGATAACAATTAAGAGAAAAAAATGTCAAGCACTTGGAACTGCATATACTCTTTCCATGAAGATGGTGTATGACATGGTCCCCACCCCAAAGATCCTTAGCATTGCTACAGCAGCTCACATTTAATTGCACAGTACTAACCAGCATTACTCATCTGAAGTTATTAAAGCATCCTGGGCAAGATTACCGCCAAAAAGTTTGAACAACACTCGGCCGGATGCAAGGTGTGGTCATATTCCAATTCCAGGTATTAACACCACACTGCATTGCAATGCTTAAAGAGAGAAACTGTTGTTTGAGCTAAGATTTGCTTCTCTCCCCCAAATGCTTAAGCAGCAGTATGAGCTTTTAAGTAGCCTAAAGGAAACAAAAAAAGGCCATTCTGTTGCCAAATTCAGGTTCAAGTCAGCCACGTACTCAAATTCACCTATAATTTGTTGTATTACTTGCGGCATGGAGGCATTGCATTCTCTACAGAAAGGCTTACCCATTTTTTTTAAAAGGCTTTGAGATCTCTGGAATAAAGAGGTGCTACAGAGGTTATCAGAGGTAAAATACATTGGATGTTGCTGCAGAAGACCAGAGCTTGTACAGTGCCACTCACTTTCCACGGCTCCTATCAAGGGCCCAGAAAGCAGGAGTCTAGAGATGATAACTTCAGAAGAAGGACATTTCGGCTCACTTCAAATAGGCACATTATTTCTAACACTTGAACCAATTCTGCAATGCTGTGACGAAGGCCAACTCTAATATGCTTAACACACTATTTGGTGAGGAGTTGGGGAAGTGGTGTAAATACATGACCGAGATAAGAGTATAAAAGAACATACGTAATGCATCTTCTATGTTTCAAAGGATTAGAGTGCCTTTTGCACCACCAAAGTGGTTGTGAAAGAAAAGGAAAGTGCTTAAAGAAAGCATTCTGAGACCGAAGATCTACAGAGTTAAACAGCAAGTTCAAAGCATTAACATTAAGATTTACAGAGCAAGGGCTCTCCCCAGACTTTTACCACAGTGTTTTCAGTTTCCAAATAAGTTAGCTACACAAAGCAGAAAAACTAACTTAGAGCAAGTATCATGGTCTACTGATCTTACCATGTGCATCATCATTTGGATAGCCAAGTCAGAATATTCAGAGATATAGTTCTTGCACTGCAGGAAGTGGGAAAATAAAGTCTTGTAAATATCAAACCACATAAGCTGTAGATTTAATCTAGAATGTTTAATACATCTCAAGGTATGATTTTACCTGCTCTACTTAACTATAGTGTTGTCTTTCAACGCTTGTCCCAGATATAAGATGGCATTCCAGGTTACACAATCACTGCATACATAGCTGCTTATCTGATTAATCCTTTTCTGCTCAGACCAAAAGCAGCCCCCCTCACCGATAAGACCACATTACCCTGCCAGATCATTTCTATGAAAAAGCACTTTAAGGGCTAGCAGCAATCTTGTGTCTTCTTTCTCCTCCCCAGGCTCATATACAGCACCTCACCCAACTTTCTTGACCAGAAAGTTTTATTTTAGTGTTGTTATACTGTGTAACATATCCTACATATGACACTTTGTTTTATTAAATAGAAATTACACTGAGAGGATTAAGGCACTGAACAAACTATTTTAAGTTTGCATACAGGAACATATTTTTAAACAAAAAAGGTAGCTTACCATATCAGACATTCCAGGTCCCAAACGGTCACACTCCTCCTTGGCATGAGCAACCAAAGACTTTACAAAAGATGAGTTTGTCCTCACAGCTTCCTGAACATCAGTAACCAGTTGAATGCAATCTTGGCATACATCCCCACTTCCCTGGACAAGGAGCGAAAGGAAACTTAAGTTGATGTATCTTCACATAGCCCATTTTAGAAGATTCCATTAAATAAGTTTTCTATAGAATACTCAAAAGCCTAAGCTGATATGAATTACAAGCTACTGCTGGTATGTGCACTAGCCACTAGATGGTGATTAGGTACCTACTTGGCTCCGAAACCCAAGATAACTGTTAAGATACCCAATCTCCAAAATCTCTTGGTTTTGTTCTAGACCACAGTGGGAAGGTTTCTAAATTTGGCACAGATCTTACCTGCTCCACTCACAGCAGCTTGTTCTCCACCCACCCAGTTGCTGAACTTCCATATCTAGGCTTGCTATCAAGTCTCAGGCTCTACTCACAAGTTCATTGTTTCATCTACTCCCTTTTGTCAAATATTTGTTCTTTTCTGATCCAGTTTGCCACTTCTGGATTCAGAGAATGCTTCCCCTGAAGGGTATACCTAGCAGATGATGCAGAATGTGGGAGAATCCTTCTTCCTTTGAACAGTGGTGCCAAACTTGCTCTTGGAAGAAATTGTTTCCAGTAAGACCTGCTTGACTACTACAGTCCTGGATGGGAACAGCCCAGCAAAACCCTTGTCTTTATGGACTGCGGTTGTTAATTCATGATCATACATATGGTTCACAGGGGCTGCAGCTATCATCTTGGCTTGAAATACACAGGTTAAGGAAGAAGGTAGTTCTGTGTATGCAGCAGCACAAAATTCAGCAGCAGACAGTCATCCAGTGAAGCACATCAGCTTAACCTGTGCTCAGTGCAACAATCCCTTACCAAGAATCATCAATAAGATCTTACAGAAAGGAGCAGAAGCACTGAAGCTCTGGAGCAAAAAACACACACTTTTCTTGCACACTGCAACAGCGCTCCACCCTTACCTTAGACTTCTGCTTGGGTTTGTCCTGAGGGTAGAGGAGAAGAGGCACATTAGCCATGAATGGGGATGCCAGTTCAGAGAAATCCAGCTCTGGGATCTTATTGGACTGGAGTTGTTTCTGAAGTTTCACTGCTGCAAGGTGCTTCTGAAGGGACTGGCACAGGGAGAGGGCACTACACACAACTTCAGGTTTATCCTAAGGGAGATGAGATACATACATAAATCTCTAGACTGATGGTACTTTTATATGAAGTTCAGGGTAAAGTCATTCAGCAGAAACATGACAGGAAGGGAAAATGTTTCAGAGCAAGGAAACAGTCTTCAAATTTACACCATTAATTGCAACACCAGTGATCAATTCAGAATAGAAGGATTATACATGCAATCTTATGTGGAAAAGAAATTCAGGCATCAACAGGGACACGACTTTTAAATCCAACAGTTGCAGATTGTTTTCTACTTACCAACTCTTCTTTGATCATATCCATGATAGCTGGCAGGTAGGAATCCACAATTTCTTTGCACTCAGAGACCAAGCCTTCGTCAGGTAGAAACTCACATGTCTTCTCCAAGTAAGAGCGGATCTCATCCTATAAAAGATGAGGTGGGATATAGACATGTAAAATTATAGCAACCAAAATTAAGTCTGCTAGGAGCACTCATCCACTTCTAGAGAAAGCAGTATCCCACCTTTTAAGACTGATGGCCCACGCTGGCACAAAAACAATTTTATTAAACATCTATAGGCAATTAGGGATGTGTTAAGAGCATGAGAGGCTCTAGAATTCGCTAATCTCTAAACCAGAACAGGCTGTTGAAAATTCTTCTCTGGCCCTTTTCAACATTTGCTGCTTAGGTTGAGAAAACATCAGGCAGACTACTGTACCACTCCTCAGCTTATCTTGTGAAGACAATGAAATCAAATAGTGCCTTAGGGCAAGTAGAAGGGGAGCTCTGCTTACCTCAGTGCCATTATCCTTCAAAACCTTGCCAGCCACTGTCACGAGTTCCTTACACAAGTCACAGGGGATACTGTTCTGGAGAGTAAAGTAGAGAGTTACTTTGAGATGGAATTAAGTACCTGAAAATACAGTCTGTGAATAACAATGCAAACGAGCATCATAAATTGTCTGAAGCTGAGGTGGGAAGAGGCGTTTTTAAATGAAGAGCAAGGCTATTCCAAGCATGTCCAGCTCCAGTTTCAACAGTAAATCAGCAAGGTATGAAGAAGCAGGCATGCCACCACTTGCTTATTTCACCTAGTCCAACCTCCCTTGAAGTATGAAGTATATTGCCCTGAAAAGCCTTCTCTTGAACCTCTTTTACCTTACTCTTCAAAGAGTTCATACTTACTAGAAATGTAATAACTTTTGAGGAAGCTTCACTCACTTCATTTGTGCTCTGCCATTCTGACATTCCTCCCTTCCCCTACTTTTCCACAAACTTTTCCACAAAACATCTCAGCATAGGTATAGCCAAGGTGGACTGAAAGCATCTGTAAGTAGCTTTTAACTCTAGAAAATTGTGAAATACCACAAACTGCAGCTACATTTAGTAAAGCAGCACTCATATTTAGTACAAATGAGACTTGAAAAGCCACACTAAATGCAACATTTGTACCATTATTTACTGTCATAACTTTCATAATTTAGCATATGCGGCATTTTTTGTGCAATATTAACTTATGAAAAAGACCAAAAGAAGCATACGTCAGTTTGGCATTACTCAAGTTAATATGTAAAGGCTCTATGAATTAGGAGTCATTTTAATGAAGATGAACAAATCTGAAATCCACTAGCTCCATTCCACACATTGCTCGATGATTGCGCAACAGGTCACGGGAGAAGTCAGCAGACAAGTTGAGCAAGGCAGAGAAGTGGAAAGCAACCTTTATCTAGCACCCAAATTAAAGCATAGTCAGATGTAGCACTTAACTCCAATCAGAGACTTGAAAAAAAAAAAAACCTTCATCAGCATATGGAAACCAGCTACCTCAAATACAGATGCAGACAAAGTCTCAGCAGTTGATACTTACTACAGTGGGCTTGTTCCAGACATTCTGTTGGCAGTGTTTCACAGCTCCGCACTGCGATGCTGTCCGAACACTCTGACACCACACCTCTGGGCCCTTCACGCAGTCATTCTGCCACAAAACAGGGCTTGCCACAGCTGCCAAAGAGAAGAAAAAGTTGCCATGGTCTAAGCCTACAAGCCACTGCAGTCAAAGTTTTAGGGGAAAAAAATTGCCTGCTCATAGGTGGTGTTTAGAAGCCTTTATCTTCAGCCCTATCAATGCTGTTTACACATCACAAAATGCTGTAAAATTACATTGTCAACCAAGAGGCAGGAATTAAGCTGTTTGATTCCTACAAAGCTTCTAGTAAGGTTATGACAGATGAATGATCACTTTTCCATTTCTCACAACTCTGTTCTAAGCAATTAAAAGATCAACTTAATGGCTGATCTACCAAGTGCATTTACTAGGTACACAGCCACCACACAAACAGAGCCAGATAAACACTGTTTTGTAGGTGGCATTCTGCAGCCTTCTCACCTGTTGGTTTATAAAGACTCCTTACACTGAATTTCAGAGAGGAATGACCCATTTATTTTAAGAAAAGTGTGCTTTGCACGCTTTATTTTCTACACAAAAGCAAAAAGTTTGCCACCCTCTCTCCCAGCAAAAAGCCTAGATAGCATATTATTCTTCAGCAAGACAAGACACTAGGACTTGCTTAAAATACTGTAGGAATAAGACTTCAAAGCTTCTAATAATGTATGGTTAGCAAAATATTTACAGTCAGCCTGTTCTAAACTACAGCATTATTCATCTGGAAGCACTAGGAACAGTGCTTCAAAATGTTTCCAAGTCTGACTGATGAGCCAAAGAGCTGTCAGCTCTGGCAGGATGACAATAACCAAGTATACACTTGGTTGAGGGAATGAGTTATTCTTCCCTTTCAGATACCAGTATTGGACAGTGGTAGAAAGGCTCTGTAAAGCAGAGTCAAGCTCTGGCTAAAGTCAAACAAGACTTTGACTTTAAACAGTGGAATTAAGGGCTTCCAACTATTTATAAGTATAGCTTTTAACCTGTGCCTTCGGTTCTGTAAATCAAACGAAAATTACTACTCCTGCCTTGTTTGAAACAAACCATAAAACTACAAAACTAAACTTAAAAACTAGAATAATTACTCCAAGCAGTTGCTCAAACTCTCGACCTAACAGGCCATTTAAAACCCAAACTGAGGAATTCATGCCTTAACTTTACTGGTTAGGTCTAGCTCTTAATGATATTTCAGCTTTTGTTTGTCTTTTTACTTTAAGATCCTCTCACTGTATGACTGCAGTTCCATAACCAGGTTTTGGCACAATGTCTAACAGCTAATCTTGTGCCTTCTTTCTCATAGCCTCTGACCTGGTCATTATAAGTGCAGGACAAAAGAAATTCTATACTTCAGATTTATGCTTACTTATCAGGTGTATGTATTTAACAAATTCCCTTCTGCACGGCTTCCGTATCAAACAGATGCTAATGCAGAGTCGGTCACTAATGCCCAGGCTTGCCAGGACACAGGAAGGGGCATTGGCAGGGCTGCAGGGTTTTGTCAGGTTATGACACTGAGGCAAAAGAAAAATGAAGAGCAAGGGAGTAGTCAGAGACCTTTTCAGGTGAGCAAAGTGCAAGCTGCAGAGAATTGTTCAGAAGGGGGGGAAACAAAGGCTTAAAATTAGATTGATTTTTTTGACAGTAGTTTTACTTGATGCCTCTGATTGCTCTGCTTCCCTGCATCACATCTCACCAGTTTGGAAGGAAAGAAGAGTAAATTCTCAGAAGAGGTGTACACAGAGTATTTTGTTCAGGTTCTGTGCAAAGCACCACCAGTGGGCACACAGTCACTTTGCATTTGAGAATAAGAACACTTACATTACCTACAATCCTTTGCAGGAGACCAAAGACAATGTCAGAAGAGCTTGAGACCAGCAGGGACAGCAAAGAATCAGAAGCATCAAACTGTTCATAAGCCAGTGAACACTGAAAAGTAGTTTTGGGATGTAAGCAAGCATCCTAAATATCTTCCTACCGGTACTTAACTTTCCACTAAAAAAAGCCAACAGATTCAGGAAGCCTGAGGCAGCTATGCTATGAGGATGGACACTTATCTACAGAAAGCAGAATGGAGGAGCAGCAGTGCCCTTTCAGTTAAAGGACACCAGGGAAGTTCTTTCCTTTTGAGAAAACAACTTTACTTTTGACGCTTTCAGTGCACATCTTTCTGGTCAAACAGTGACTAGGCAATTTATTTTCAGAGCCACACATCACTGGGCACATTTGAGAAAGCAGCTACAGAACAAAGATAATATACACTTATATATGTTTATATAATATAAGCAAGGCTTCTTTTCTTCCATCTTTCACAGTGACTTTAAATACAGTTAAGCTTGTATCAGTTTACGCTGTATTATGTTGAAATTTTTTTTACATAACATCTAATACAAAAGGATGCACCATCATTGGAGTAGTATCCACCCTCTTTCTGAATGTCCTGGGAAAAACAGAAACAAAACTAAAAACTCAGCATTAATTCAAGTCTTGCTGATTCAGGAAAGAATAGCCTGAAATCCTTTACTGTTCCCACTGTTTCTTCCTTTAGCTTGCTCCTCTGAGACAGCATTTTTCCTCATATATTAACTAACATTACAACAAAAGCAAATACGCCAGTGAAGTGTGTTAAGACCTTGTGCTGTTTCACAACAGAATGAACAGTTCTGAATCTTAACAGTTCTCGCTTGTTCCCTCAAAACAGCCTTCTCTGCAAGCAGAGTAACAACTTAACACAGCACCAAGCCAAGAGACAACAAAGCACTGTCGGTTACCTCACACAACTCCTAATGCTTGCAGGCTAAACCCAATGAGATTACCTTCTTAGTTATCCCTGGCATCCCTTCATTTTATATATTGTTCGTTATCTAAGGTCATCCATTTCTAAATGGATTTCTCCTTTCTCTGTAGAATAGCTCCCAACAGTCACACATCATGCCCATTCAAACCTGCCCCCCTTCCCCAGAGTTCTTGCACGCCACTATTTTTAGAGCACCAAACAAGTTTATCTGTGAGGGCCAGGGTGTTTCTTTACTCATCCCCTTTGCTGGTTCCTCCCTTCTTGAGCTGCTTCAGAAACGCTGTTTCTTCAATTTTAGAAGGAATAGGTTTTGCTCCACCAAGCTTTTCCTAAATTAAGCAGTGAAAGAAAAATGAGGAGGAAGGAAAAGGCAGGGAGGTATAAATCCAATTCATGTATAAAGGGTATGCTTTACAGATGTGGAAAGCTTCAGCCCTTGGGCTTCTAGCAAAACTGACAGCCTACAGGCATCCTAGGATCCGTGCATACAATTGCAGCTTCTCAAAATAAGAAAAAAAAAGAAAAAAAAAGAGGGATTCACATCCACTCTACCCACTCTGACCTCTACGACGCTGGTGTCTGACAGACAAGAGAAGCCATCTCTCAGAACAAGCATTGCCTCAAAAACAGCCTGAAGCCCAACAACATAAATCAAAATACTCCAAGAGCTGAAGGCTAACAGCAGAAAAGGAGAAAACTTTTCTATGAGGCCCAGGTTAGCAACCTGACACTGCCAGAACACCAGCAGCACAGTCCTCACAAGTGATAGCTACTGCATATTGAATGGAGCTCTGCCAGGAATCCACAAAAAAACCCCAACAGTTTAAAGGCTGCAAAGATAAAAGGAAACCTGCAACTTACTCCCACAGTGGAGTTAAGTATCCTGCTTAATTCAGCCACTGCACATTACTCCTAGGCACTCTTTCAAAGCAGCAAATGCCAACTATGATCTCCAACCTCAACACCAGGCATCTGGAATGGAAACACTAACACATGATCAGAAGTGAAATAGAGGTATGATAGCCCTTTCAGACAATACCATCTTTTCTATTTGCAAAGCTTACAGAGTCAAGCATGTGAAAGCACAGCTCAGTTCTTCACTCCTCTTCAGGAAGCAAGAGCCTGGAAAGAAGCTTTTAATGGCTGGATTAACCATTCTGCAAGGACAGGTCCAGGAAAATTGTTAGATAATTACCTTCCCTGAGAATAAACCTTCCCTTCCCTCAAGCATTTGTGGTGGTGTTCTTCCGGGGAAAACCAACCTGAATTTCTTCACAAAATTCTCAGAAAAACATCATAAGCAATCCCCTCTAAACCTGTACTGAATCTACTAATAAGACTTTCGTGACTGTGCTTAAAAGTTAACACCTTATATAAGCTTCTAGAAACAGGGACACTATATGGGCCAGACCAGACTCACTAAAGAGTCAGTAGATAAACCAGAAAACCATTGCCCAAAATACAAAGAAATTCAGCTTGAAGACTCAAACTGAACTACTAGGAAAACCTCATTGTGAGCAGCATTTTCACAAACAAATTAACATGCAGTTGGCAAGAAAAAGAGTTGAGCTGCTGTTAACTTTCATGGGTTGAAATCAAATGTGGAAGACAGCTTGGGGTGCTGTCAACTCTTATGCTTTCATGACAATCTAATTTGTTCCGAGTATATTAACACATTCATCAGGAGGGATGCTCATTCCCAGGCTGTCCCACTTGGCAATGTTAAAGAAAGATCATTCATTACCTCCCAGAAATGGCCCATAGACCAAGTGAATGCAACAGTCTCTGCCATACTGTGCTCAGTCAGTTACTGATTTCTCCCCATTTCTTTCAAGAAGTGCAAAAGCAAAGTGTGTTTGAATTAAAAGTCAAGAGGGATCAACTTCTCTTCATCAAATCTTACAAACTGTCAACAAGTCAAGGAGTGACCTCAGCCTGAAGTTATCTGAAGGGCTCCTTGCTCCACAGCCTCTCTGGTCAGTTAATGAGTTTAAGTAAAATTTCAGAAGTTATAACCACATCACACACTAGTACCTCATGTCAAAGGTCTACTACACATCTGAATTAATGAGGCAGGAAAACAACCACATAATTTGACAGACTACAGGCAATTTGTGGACCAAGTGGATGAAATCTGGTTAGCTGTTATCAGTATTCAAGATATTGGTTAAAATCAGTCATCCTGTCCAACATCCACTGACCAAAAATCAAGCTTGAAACATTTGTAACTTACACAATTCGAAGAAATTAGTTTTGTGTTAACACTGTGGTTGGGCTCTTCTTCAAAGTGGGGAGTGCATTCCCATTCTGG